CTGATATTGAAGTTTGAATCTTGATTGATGTTGTATTTATAGGCATTCTGGGAAAAGCTCCAAGTGAAGCACTAACACAGCACGGTATAGCACTTGCCAAGTTGCCAGATTTTGGTTCATTGGCAATGTCCAAATGCGTCTTAGCTTCACTGCAAAACTATAATTGTGGTCGTGATATGATATCTCTTTCATCTATTCTAAGCGTTTTGAATACTACTGTAGTATTGAAAGGTATACCACAACATTTCAAAAGTTCAGATGGCGACTTTATGACATTATTAAATGTAATGGATCAAATATTACTTGTTAAGCAATCTGTACCATCGAAAGATTTTCGTTTAGAAAGAGTTTGTAAAGCGAAAGGTTTGACCGGTATTCAACATATTTTAAAACAAGCATTGAGACGTCAAACAAATTTAGAAAAAGCATTTAATTTATCTGTGGATTATCGTACAAAAGCACAAATTAAATCAAACGATTGGGAATTAATTGCCAAATCACTATTAGCTGGATATTCTAGTAATGTATTTGCATCAATGAAGGAACTACAAGATAGATCTCAGCTTTATATTCGATACAATAATTCAGCAGATAACGATATTGCCGAATTAGATTCACAGTCCGTTCTAGCTCGAACAACCACCAAAGATCCCCCATCCTTCGTTTTAGTTCGAGATATTCGTTATTCGACGTCAGTCCGTTCGAAAGCTTTACTTTCATTTGTTGGTGAGATTAAACCTGAATGGGTTGAGTATGGAATTACGCGTCAATTAAAATTAACTTCTGAAGAAGAAAATCGTCTAAACAGCAACAATATATTTCAAAATGCTCTAGCGAAATTCTCTCATCGAATTAGCATGCTTTTGAATAATACAGCTAAAGCTGCTATCCTATCGGGCCCAGCAGGCACTGTTTTCACCTCTGAACTACATCTTCGACAAAACATGGTAGAAGAATTTCACTTTCAATTAGAAAATAAAAATCCGCCTAAATCAACACAATATACGAATCTAGCTCGAAATTTGGAAAGTGTGATGAAAATGCCGCAGATATTTAGACCAATGCAATGGCGTTGGCAAAATCAAAAACAAGTGATCATAACAGTTAACTGTAATACATCAACAAAGACTTGTGATATAACAGTGAACGCAAGAAATTCAGAATATCAAAATGTGAAAAAAGAATTCGCTTCATTTTTGAGATGGTTACAGGATTGTGCTGTCATTCGACATCCGAATTCGGGTAAGTGAATGATTACCTTATCTGTCTAGTGATATTGGGAATTAATCACGAGATTTCGTGAATATTCATGCTGAAACCTTGGTATTGTCTCAAACTTCAAAGAAATAAAATCCTGAAAGAAAATAAAACGGATAATCAAATAAATTTATTCAATAGGCGATAAAAATAATAAAGAATAAGAACATCATAAGAGATTGAAAAATGAGTGAAATTGATTCGATTTTGTAAAGTAATCAAGAATGACAATCATCTGATCCGTTTAGTCAGATTGATCATTTCATCCTCGAAACAATAGGCTACTGAGTAACTTTTAGCTCGAAATTTCAGTAATTTCTGATCCTCTGCGTCAGTTCTATGACATTCATTGCCTTAATTATTTGATATAAGCGTTGTCAATAAGAGCTGAAGTATGTAACGAGAAAAGTGAATCAACGCATTTACTTTCTGTCTACACTACTGATGCCTGATAGAGAAACAGAATGAACTAGTTTCATAGCACCGTAAATGGTAACAAATACTTCGATGGGTCTCTCTATCGAGCCTTGACGAAAAATGATTGCCATTGCTAGAGTTCTCATTTATTAAATAGAGTGACTCAATACTGTTTCAAATGTCAATCCTGTAGGAGCTATGCTGAAAGTTTTTGAAGACCAGTAGTGATCAGAATGATGAACCATGAGAGCTTACATAGTTATTTCTAATTCTTAGTACATATTGTCAATATTAGAACTTTCTGAACTTATAATTCTTTCTTTTTTTTGTTCAAAATTTTTTTCATACAGATTTTGCCACTTATGTAAAGCTTTAATGAAAAAAAAATTCGAGTTTCTTTACACGAAAGCTTTTTCGCTAAATATCATACCAAAGTATAGAATAATACTCGATCTATAATGGAAATGCACGAACTTCAACACTGAGCATTTTTAAAGAGCGCTAACAAATAAGATTAGATATCCATCACTGCTTAGGAAAAGATCTTGCAAATACAGAACGCATGCCAGCATTGTCCTTCACACTTCCTTTTATTTAATTTCACTTTTGGCATCAACATGGACGAAAGGATATGGGTTTGGGTACTGCTGGTCATCGATGGGTAGATACCAATATTCAACTTTCTATCTACCCATAAGATAAATTTTTTTTTATATATTTTCGTTAAATCCCAGGTGTTGATTACTCTATTCACATTCATATTTATAGTGGATTTTATCAAGAATATTGATAATAGTAAAAAGTAGTCACAATCTCAATTGCTTATGCTCATAAAAATCATTAGCTTTCAGCCACCAATCAGAATGAGAACGGTTTAATACTCTTTTTCCTAGATTTATGAGTAAGTTAAATTCAAATATCGGTCATACATCGATACCAGCGAGACTATTGCAACAATCGCTAGCAGATCAGTTCAAATAATCGTAGAAGTTTGACAATGTTTGACTCTAGCTTATTTGAAGAGTCTGGTATAAATTTCCCATTCATGATACTTGGTGTTTTTTCCTATACTATATTTAACAAAAACCCATTCAAACTTTTAGAAAACAAGACAAGGATAAAAAGTGACTCTCATCGATAATTATGGGTAATTTGTGCAATCCGCAAAAAATTCAATTTTCCCGATACGTTGTCTCAAAAGCCTTGAAAAAAAAAACTTTATCAAAGATATAGCAGAGTTTGAAGAACTCTTAGCATGAATTATTCGTACTTGAGAATGATAACTTGAAATCATGTCAATTGTAGATATTTCATGTCTCGAGGTTATGAGCTTCCCAAGTTTCCCTATTCAAGATTCGAGCATCATATGTATGTCAGAAAATACCTTCTTCTTCACTAGAAAACAGATATAAACAAAATTTTTGAAACTTAGAAATATTTCTTCTGATGACGCATGGTTTCAAATAATCTAGTAATGCTTTTCCCCTGTTCAATGAAAAAGTTTACATAATAGTTTTTTCGAGAGTGGTTTTTTTTCTGGAAGTTGAAGGAAGTAAATGCTCATTTATACTCAAATGCCATCTTGAGTTATATCGAGTTTTAGAATGGAAGAATATCAAACTAGTGAAATCATGTTTGGTTAAATTTTAGGTGTGTCGCCGCGCGTTTTCCGTCCTCAGGTGCGATCTAAATATCTTGATATTGAAGAACGAATTGCTCACATTACCGATAGTAAACGAACACCTATCGACTTATACAATGGTGCAAAAGGCACGCAAGCAACGCGTGAAACGCGAATGGAAGTCGTGGCTTGGATAGCTGTGTGTATTTTTTCATGTAAACTTGAAGGTGGTTTTGTACGCGATTGGGTTGTCGGCAACTATACGGCACGACCACAAAACCTTCTAGGAAATCCGAAAGCATGGATTTCATATACTAACTCGATACCATATATCGACAAAGAAGTTGTTCCGGCTGATTTAGATTGTCATTTGCCTACACACGCTTACTTTGATATTGAAAAATTTCATGATGAATTATATAAGTACGATATCACATGTAAAGTTTTTCGACAAGATTGGCGCTATGTATTGCTGATAGATGAAGATGCTCCAACGGGTCCATTTACAATGGACTTGATTGAGCCGCATGTCGCATTAACTCATGATCGTATTGATTTCGATGTGAATAATTTGTCATTAGAAAAAGATTACACACACGAATTAGGTATGCGGGTCGATATTCAGCAACAACCGTATTTGATTGAGCTTGAAGCGATTGTCGATAATATTAAAAACAAACGCTTTCAGATACTTCGTCCAATCGATAATCTTGTTCAAATACGCGTTGACAAGATGACAAAGATTCGACAATGGACACAACTGGGACAACCGTTTTCAGTGGTGCCAAGTCCGAATCCAAAATATTCTGCCGTTCTCGTACCATTGCCACAATCAACAAACTTGTATCAAGATATAGAAACCGACATGAAAAAAAAAATTGGCAATTCAGTTCAAATTGTTTCCATTGAACAAGTGAAAAATCCTCTGCTAGAGGATGCATATGAATCTATGAAAAAGTTAATTGCTAAACAATGTAAAAGTTTTAATCCGAACGAACTGCCACTATATCATGGTACCAAAGGACCTGGCATCGATGGTATCAGAGATGATGGTTATGACGATCGTTATTTCAATGAAAACGGCAATTGGGGTGAGTAATGAATGATGACTCTTATGAATCAGTATAATAACCCTATTCATTCATTCTTCATTGAATAATTATCAGTCATTTGTTGTATTAACATGATGAGCGGTAGTAACGACTTCTGTAGAAGATAAAAGAGACGGTCAACTTCTATCTAACTATTTTATTGTCTCTCCACAGTAACATTCCCTGAGATAGAGTAGTCCAACAAAAGAAAAGCAATGTTGAAAACATGTTGAGTTAATTCTTGAAGATCACCATGACATATCTAATTGCATTGGCTATCTCAGACAGAAGACTATTTGTTTATTTCACTGAAAGATTACAGATCTTCAAAGATAAAAAATCCTATCTATAGAAGATTGTGCTATCCGAATTTATTAGTTACATTATCATTATCCATGAATACATAATTAATATTGAATCGATAGAATCTTCTTCAGATCACTCGTGTGATCACTCACCGTGATCATTTGAAAATACTTTTCGAATCTACTCGAAGAGTTTCAGTCTCTAAAAGTCGTGTTCTGAGCATTGTTGACGGTAACATCACAAAAGAAATTGATTCTTAATGTTTGTTTTGTAAAAATGTAAATTGCAGAATCTCCTAATGAAAAGTCGTACACATGTTACAAATATTTTTGCCCAGGATAACTACTTACTACAATTGAATGTACAGGCTTTTGTCTAAACGATTTTTTCGAATATTTAGGTCATGGTGCATATTTCGCTGATAATCCTGTAAAGTCACATGCCTATACAGATGCGGATCTCACAGATCACACACGTATTATGTATTACAATAAAGTCTTGTTAGGCATCATCTCAAAACAGACGGAACCCAATCAAAAATTGGTATCGGCACCAAAAGATACACATTCTGTCGTAGGAGAATTGGGAGGTTTTACCGAATATATTGTTTATAGATATGGTCAGGCCTTGCCCTACTTGAAAATTACTTATACAGCATAATTCATATATGCGGTATTCAGACGACTTGATCAAACAACGCTTCAATATAGTCATTTTTTTACTCTAGAACAATTATTTTTGATTTATTTCACTAACCAACTATGATTTGCTTAATAAAGTCTGTTATGAATCAATTAATTACTGTTATAAGATATTATTCGTTGAATATGTGAAAAGTTCAATATATGAACGATTCAAGGTAGAAAATTTCCATCCTCTAGGCTAAAATATCATGTGTTTTCATTTCTTGGTCCTATAGTATATGATCTGATGCTATCAAGCCATTCATTCGAAGTTCTTCTCGGCGGTATAAATTTAATGATGAGATGCTTGTTCTAGCTTTGATGACTTCCTAGTTTTTGGGGCAGAATAATTCTAATTTTCGTTAGCTCAGAGAGAGAAGCAGATATATAGCTACACCCATTGTAACAACATATCGTTTATTGATCTTTATCATGTTGTAAACTTTTCAAATCTAACGCTATTAAAAATTTATGTTAACTATTTTGAAGGATTGATAATTATTCAAGAAAAAAAAACATATTTAGATTTTAAATAATTAAAATTGTTGATTCACTTGTTTGATGATCTCTATTCATTGGTTTTTATCTATTTCTTTGATTTATTATAGCACATTTTCTAACGTTTTTTTTTTGATAGCATATATATCAAACTTTTTGTAATGGCTGACATTTTTTTAACTACTGACATTGAATACCTCTTCGACTTTTCCGTTGTATTACAGTCTAATATCTTCATGATAAATTTTATTAGTTTATATTTCAATATTTATCATCGATTTATTGTTTTTTTATATAATGATTAATAAAAGTATACGTTTTCTAAAAGAAAGTAGCTAATTACTTCAAAACTAATCATTGTTATTGAAAGATAAAACAACTTAAAATATGTTATGTACAACATTTAGTTATTAATTTTTCTGTTCTTTTAATATTCTAATCTCATATTTTTCAATACTAACGGAAGCTTCATTTTGCAAAACATCGTTGAACATATCTTCTTTCAACTTAATTACAGTAATTCTCAACTCAAATAAGAGAAAACTATGATAAACACTTTTCTTATTCATCCATGTACATATACAGTCTCTTCTGTCCTTGCTTAAAAAAAAACAAAATAAAGACCAGAATTAAGTAATCAATTGATATTTTAATAGCTATGATTGTTTATTTAGTGCTAGAAATCTTTTAGTAGCGTTTGAGATGTGGAGAATCCAAAAAATAACTAAATCTTTATTAAAATAAACTATATCTGTACAAAACTTTCTTAAATATCATTGTCTGTTTTTTTATTACTATTATGTGACGTACTTAAGAGCTTTATAAATAACATACATGTATAAATATGAACAACAATGATAAAGTTCCATCATTTAAACTAACTAACGTATGGGCATTATAAAACAAAGCTTCAATTTCTTCTCTTCGGTCATCTTTCCTTACCCCAAGAATTATAGAAAATATAGGATGACTACGAAGCCTGCCTAGCAAACATTACTGATGTCACTAGTTCAATATTAAATTGATATGGTTATCTATCTGATGTCTCGATGAGCTTGTATTTGTGGACATGTTTCATGCTCCTTCTAGCATCATAACCGTTGCATTACATTGGTAAAAACTTCTAGTCGAACTTTTTTTCATGTGCTTAACATAGACAGATCTCAAGATGTGTCCATATCACATAAATTTCTCTCCACAGACAAGCACTTACATAAGTTAGTGTTCATTCAAAGGTTTATCAAGATGGTTTTGGTTAATGATTTAGAAAGTAAATATTCTTAGAGATATCTAGATTTTAAAGCATACGTATAAAAACAAAATACTATTTAGATTTCATTGCAAACTCATGTTTTGTAATCAATAAAGAACAAGATCAATCAATTAGAGAAATATTTTTCTATCGTAAAATTAATTCTATTATCAAATATAACGATGTGCAAAAAATGTGGTCAAGAAACGGCGATCAATGGAGAAGTTCATGTGAGATAATCCATCGATTTGCGGACTATGGCATTAATGTGTTTGCTTCTTTTATTTATTTTTGAATACAAATGATGTTGAACAATAACAGAAATGTAACATTATACGAGAAACAAAAGAAAAACAGAAGGATCAGATGTTAGTAATGCAATAAAAACTTAATGATAGTTTACTTCTTCATTAGTTGCAAGTTGTTTTAATATTATTAGTAATTTCAATATTCTAAATCAATCAAAATCATTGTTTTAAATCATCTACTTTAGTTTTAATTATTTTACTAAATCATATATAAATGTATCACTTTAAAAACAAAGTAAAATGATAATATATGCGTTTTTTCAAATACAATGAAGTTTTATAAAACTTAATCTTATATTGAACTTTAATTACGGATTAAAGTTTTTTTCTTAAGCTCGTGTACCATGCACATTCACTTTGTCATTTTCTATATGTCACAAGTACATATAAAATTTTGCCATAACCTATTTATGTATGCTTACAATATAAAAGCTTATTAATTTTAAATAAAATATAAAACATACCGAAAACTTGACTATGTTTTGTAAATTGAAAATATACATTGTAATATAAGAAAAGTAACACAAGAAAATGTACTCAAAACAGACGTCATTCTCATATAAAAAAAACAATGCCATATTAATTTTTTATCTAATCATTGAAAACTTAGAACTCATTGGAGAGTAACGAAAAATATATAAATCCGATATGAAGTTTTTTTTTATTAAATCTCATCGAATTCGACAAATATGTCAACGAATTTTTTCATTTAATTAATCAATATTCTTAATGAAACTTACAATTACGAAAAAAAGACATGTAGTAACTAATCAGAATGTACTGCAGATTACAAAATGAATCTTCATTTGATTCTTATACTTGATTAAAATTAACCAAATATATGACCAAATTAGCAAAGAAATGAACAATAAAAAAAAAAGATATGATTAGCATTGGATAATAAATTTTTTGTTGGGAAAAATTTATTCGTTTTATTCATAAACTTTTCAAATTATTGATTGACATTATATTATTTAGATAATTAAACATTTTTAAAATAAAAAACAACTCAGTATACAATGACAATGATTTCGAAATAACAATCACAATGTGTCATAATTTCAAGTGAAATTTCGTAATAACTTTCTGAGTCCTATAAATATTTAAATTGACAAAATCATTTTTTTTTACTATCTTTCCAAAAGAGATCTGATCATTTTTAATGTACGTATAATAAAAAAAAATTATTCGAATATATTAATTTATTACATGAATATTTAATTTTTAGAATGGTAAATATCCCAAAGACACGTCGAACATTTTGTAAAGGTAAAGTTTGTAAAAAACATACTTTACATAAAGTGTCACAATATAAGAAGGCTAAAGAAAGTAAACATTCTCAAGGTCGACGTCGATATGATATCAAACAGAAAGGTTATGGTGGTCAGAAGAAACCTGTATTTCATAAAAAAGCTAAAGAAACAAGAAAAATTGTCTTACGTTTGGAATGTAGTGAATGTCATCATAAACATCATTTGACTATTAAACGTACTCGACGTTTTGAATTAGGTGGACAAAGAAAAAAACCAAATGAAGTTGGCAAATGGTAATGAAAAAAAAAAGCAAACAAAAACAATCACATTTATTTCTTTAAATAATTGAAGAAAAAACAAAAAAAATGTTATAATAAATTTTCAAATTTTTAGTTAACTTTAATTTTAATTAAGTATAATTAAAAAGAAAAATCTTATAATTATTGATTTCTAATGTAGTATAATAAGAATTTTCTTTATTAATAAAAAAAAACAACAACTATTTTATTATTTGAATATATATAAATTTTTGCCTTGTCTTTTGTTAAATTAAGTACTTCGTAATCTAAATAATAAAATTTTATAGTAATGATGAATGATAGATAGAAGCAAATATATATTATTCGGCAAGTATGATATTGAGCAATCTAATATCTACATAATGCCAGCTGTTTATCGAACACAATCAAGTGCATGATAGAAATATAA